AGAAAAGTAAAACAGATCGTATCAACCGTTCTACTAAGCTTGAATCAAAATCCAAAGATTTCGGATGATACGTTTAACAGACGACCCAAGGCATTTGGAGTGAACTTCCTAGCGAAAAGGAAACAGAGTGCTGATGGCTGATTATTGTAAACACACGTTCTACTTTCGAAAAGTTTCCTGAAGAAATCGCCCTGGATGTCTGCGTCTCCGAACATTGCAGGATGAGCACCGCCCCTCGACCAATCAACAAAAGTAACACTCCTGTTTGCTATGAGATGAGGCGTTTTGATGCTCAACAGGGTTTGGAAGTAATGTTCATCAACATAACATGGTGGCTTGCAGAACTTTTTAAATTTGGGGTAGTAAACTGTGTCTTCAACCATCTTCACTGCAAGTTCTCTATTGACTTCAAACCACTGAGATCCCTTCCGCCAATTGGTGAGGTTAACCTCAGGTGCCAAACTTTCATTGTAGCGTCCCCTACCGATGATTCCTGGTTCATCGAACGCACTTACGAAACTGAAACGGGATCGGGATAGGTAGTGATAAATGACGCTGAAATTGTGGAGAGGAATGCAAGACTCGGAAAGAAGAATGAACCATTCATTTCCAACATCAAGAAGTGCATTGGCAAGCAGTCTCCTCTCAGCATCACACATGCTCATCCTCCCCCACTCGGCGATCTACATAGTGAAAATCCAAAATAAAATGAATCAACCTCAACCATACAGCAACTAACATAAAAGATACAGAAGCTCCAGGCACAAGTAGGGAGTTCCCAACAAATTGGAATAGGAATGCTAACAGAAATCAAGAACATTAAGGTAGATATTCGATTGCCATCGATATTTATCGGTGATAGGCTCGTATGTGTTCGTTTAAGAATCTTACAAGTTCTACAAACATCTAGAGACTTATTAGCCAAGGCAATTCTCAACAGATTCAAGAGAGTTGGCATGGATGATATGGGAAAACTTCCTATGAAGCATCACTTGCTTCCCTTGATGCTTTACTAAACCGAAGTTCGGTTAAAATTCACAAATCTATTAATCTACTTCGTGATGGTACGTTTTAGACAACGAAATATGCAGTTCTTATGAGTAAAGCAGAAGGGCAATCTAGTGTGTAAGCGTGACAAGAACACATATTACCTTACTCGGGATCTGTCGTCTGTAAAACACCGACGACGGTGGAAAATCAGCTACATAAAATGGCAAAGAGTGAATATATATAGAATAAAGTTTCTGATGTCCCTTGAAGAACCGCTCCCAGAGAGGAGACAAGGGCAGTGGTCCCTTGGTCAAGAACATGAAAGCAATTTTTCGAACTCTCTTGAATGGATACTTCTTGACACGAGGAGCAAAAGACGCCCTCCAGAGAAGCTGGGCGTCGTTCATGGTATGCAGAAGACTTGATGGAGGTCTGATCCATCTTTCTATACTGGTTGGCTCTTCAAGACAAGGTCGAATTATGGACCGTGCTACTTGAGGTGCCACATTTGGACTTCCAAAATACTTCACCGTATGCAAACTAGCAAGTGATATTCCAAGGAAAACAAGCAGAAACAGAAAGAAGAGCTGAAGAAACCTGAAGGGAAAGGCCTTGACAGGACTGTTTGTTCTAGTGCTGCCATTGGCAATGGCAGCGCCGGTGGCAGAGGCCTTTCCTTCCTCAACCCCCACCACTCTAGTCGGCATCTTTGCCCACCTTCCAACCCAATTCGCTTCCAGATAATTCACATCCAAGGAAATGAAATCTACAAGCACATATTTAACGAATCAAAACCCTATCTCAAAAACAGAGCTCTCAAATAAGATGTTCTAAATAAGGAATTCCAAACATCATGCCACAAGTTAACAACAAATCAACAAGATCTAACAAAATCCAACCATATACAGCAATTTACCAAATGTGTACTTCAGAAACAACTCATTCCTTTCCCAAAACTGAAAACCTTCCTCATTAAATCAAAATGCCCAACACCACAGCCCCTAAATCTCCTTGCAGCAAATAGAAACAACATACGAGATGAAATCGCTGGCGAATTGTATTACCACGTGGAGCGGTGGCGATTGAGCTCAAAACAATCGAGAAATGACACAGATCGGTTCAGACACGAATCATTCAAACCAGACTGCGATCAAGGACTTGCTCGATCCGAGTTTCACAGCACACCCGGATGTTGAGAACCTGAATCCAAGACGAAGAAGGAAGATGGCCGTACGAGGGGAGGCGCTCGAAACTTCAAAGTCGAGCTTGATTTGATGAATTATTAATTTGTAAATGAGAAATTAAATTTTAGGTGAATATTTGCCTGTGTTCTGGATTCGAGTGTTTTAAGTTTAATAATAAAATACTGTTCTTCGTCGTACACGTATAAAAACCTCTGCCTCTCTGGATTGCCTTTAATTTATTTTATGTATTTTTTACTCTATGCTCTCATCATTAAATAAATAAAGTAACGCTTACATTGAAAATCATATTATAAAATTTATTTTTCCTCTTACAAAATCATGGAGAGTAAGGATCCGCTTGGAATTGTTATTTTATTGGAAAGACCACTGTGGTGTAGTTTATATATATTGTATCTTTTTATTTCAGATTTTTATGAGAAAAATTAGAAAATGTTTAATTTATAAATGTAATTCTAATGTAAATTTTATTCAAAAAGAATTAAGCGGGTTTTATAAAAGTTAAATTAATAAAATACATATACACTTTATCTAAAAAAATATTTTTGATGTAACGACTCTAGATTTCATCTACCTAAAGTCATTACTGTCATCTTAGTCTAAGGTTTTATGTGGAATATAACTCTTAAAATATATTATTGGAATAAAATATTTGTACGTAAACCTAACTCGAAAACACTTGTGAGGGGTTATGCGTTCAAAACATACTTTATAAATGAAATTAATTTACAACCTAATATGCATAACATCCAATTTTAAATTTTTTAGTTGAGGGAATTAAATATACTACTTGGCTATGCATGTGTCATGGTCTCTGATTTGCGATGTCGTCGTCAACCGTATAGAGGTGTCTTGTCTTTACTTGAAAAATGATGTGGCACACGAGTTGAGTATTTCAAAGAATACTCCGTAAGTGACCTCACTATAGGGGTGTGAAAAGATGCAAACACATGCAATAATGCTCTAAGAGCCTATCATTAAAACATCATAGGGGTGGCCTCCCGTAAGATTAAATTAGATAGGTGTGAGCGTGAATCTTCAGGCGATTCGTACCCCCTAGACCCATCATAGTCGAGCTAGTTGTTCGTAGCAACGTCCGAAGATTAGCAGATCCCTGGGTGTCATGCTGAGCATGATCACCATCATCATCATAGCGTACACATCCCTACTCATCATAAAAAAAAGGAGAAGTATCCCGATGCTTATGTACATACAGAAATGCATAAGGTCCCTATACTTTATCATCTTTAAAACATGACACAACCCTCGTTCCATCCTTATATTACTATAAGTAATATATGCACATTAACTTTCTATATTATAATCATTATTAACGTCATTTAGGGTTATGTCCTAAACATAATTATCGTCATAATGCAGTATGACATTCACAACATGCTTCTCAACTTAATATGGAAAATAATGTCATATTAAGTAAATAACATAATCTATCATCATATCATCATGCATCGTCATCATCATACAACGTTACCTAACACATCATAATCAACAAACGTAATCATATAACTCATACATTTCATCATACATCATATATCATCCGTCATACATAATAATCATAAAGCATAAAGAACACGTGCAAGTGCCCCACTAGGCACGTGTTGTCATGCCACAAGCAATTACTTGGCCTATCCTATAGTAAGGCCACTTAATTAATTCGCCTTAGCCGGCATTCCCCTTAATTTAAAATATGTTAGATTTCATTCCTCGAAAGTTGCCCCAAGTGTCGTTAGAGTTCGTTTCCTATTAGGTGGTCCCGTTTTTTTCGTTAGTATTTCATTCTAAATTAAATTCAATTCCAAATTATGAAATAGAGCATCATACTTGCCTTAATTAGCCGAGATTCTGAGCTGCGGAGCCGAGCCGTTTAAGCCATGGGAGACGGTGTCTGCCTGCAGGCGTAATACGTGTCAGCAGAGGAGACGGACACGTCACATTTCCCTCTCGAGTCGAGGCGCGGGTTCGGGGGCGCTGACGCGGGTGTTGGGCCTGGGTCTCGTGCTGCAGGTGGATTGGGTCGACACTAGGCTGCCTACTGGATCTGGGCCGAGGCACTCATTGGGCCGAAACCAAATGGATGGGTAGTGGGTTATGGGTTGAGTCCGACCCGAATCCGGATCCGACGGATTCGTCTTCTTCCCCCGACTCGGCGAGTTTTTCCGATTTTCTTCTCTCTCCTCACCACAGTCGTTTCCGACGTTCTTCCTCGTCGTTTTCCTCCTCTATCTCTCTGTTGGACTCTCTGCTTCTCTTCCACGAATCCTCGTGGCCGTTTCCGATCTATTAGGTTCTTGAAAAATCGAAACCGATATCTCGTTTCCGATGACGATGCACGTAGGAGGAACGCAAAACGTACCTCAGATGAACGTACAGTCGTCGAAGATCTCTTTCATGGCATGAATCAAGCGTTTCGACGTTGAGTTCGGTTGTTTTAGGTATGCATTCGCGGTTTTGAGTCTAGGAGAACATCGACAAACTTCTCTCTGTCGATCTCTTTCTCTGTGTTTCTCTTGTAATAATCCTTTTTCCGAGGTCATCTTTGGATATCTAAGGATTCGATATACAGCTTTCATATGTTCTTCTAACAACAAATTCAATATATAGACGTGTATGAGAAATATAAATACGATGTTTGATTGATAGCAATATGTGTTCTTTACGGAATTTCAATGTTCTGTGCTTAAAGCATTTGTGACGGAGTTAAATGTTTCTTAGTTAATCCTCGATGATCGAATATATCATACGTCGATCATGTCATCAAGAACGAAAAAGAGTTTGATTCTGTACACCTTTCAGAAATCTATTCACATTTTCACTAATGAGAAGAACATGATTACAGACAAAATTTTCTTACAGTTCTATAAGAATATTGACAACAGTGTGGATAGATAATATCACATCCCAGATGAACTGAAATACATCATAATTGGTTTCTTTCTTCTTGTATTAACTGAAATATCCTAGCCGCTGATTCAGTAGCAGATTTAGGATGGTGAGGCACAACCTTGATTGCCCTTGATTTCTGCTCACTCATGTCTGCATTAGGACTGGACTCCTCAACTCCTGGTGGTTCAGTAGGAAAAAGAGGAAGCACATCTCCATTGCCTCTCTCGGAGCTGCTACTACCCGTACTTCCCATCGATCCGTGAACTTTTGGAGCACGAAATGGCATCGAATGGCTCGTTTGGTTTGGCATATCGCACGAGTTTTCTTGGTGCGCCAAGTAGTTGATATCCCCAGTTGATATCTGCTTTTCCTGTTCTTTTGATTTCACTTTAGCAAACAGACTCATTTGATCTGGAGTTGACCCCGACATCGATTGATTCGTTACTGGTACGCCATAATGTGGAAAGTACATTTGGTTCAAGGGAATCATGCCCGGAAAATATCCGAACCCTTGGTGGTTAGAAGCAGGAACAGCATAAGCTGGGGCGTAAAAGTCTCCACTGCCTGTGTTTAGGCTCGTTAATCCATAGTTACCGTACATCGGTGTCACGAATCCTGCAGTCGGAGGGCATGGTCCTGTATATGGTTTGTAAACAAGAGTTTCAGAAGGAGACATAACTGGAACCAGCCATTGGTTTCCTGGTGTAGGGTGGCTAATGCACCAGGGAGCTGATTTTGGAACAGCAGCTATCGGAGTTTGTGGCGTGTCTTTTACTCGAAGCTCGTAGCTCGTTTGTCGAGTAAGGGCAAGTTTAGTGTTGTCCTTGTTAAAGGAAGGTAAAGGAAGCTTGGCAAGAGGATTCTTATCTGCACATTTGGTGTCGAAAACGGGATTTGGGCGTTGATGATAGCCTTTCACCGTGGCAATTTGAACCGGCTGTTGCGCAGCACACTTGGTTGGCTTGTTCTTAACAGCAGACAGAGCGGATGACGGTTTGTCTAAATAGTGTTCAAGTAATATGTGTGGTGAACCAGCAATGAGTCTTTGAACCTATGTTGAATTGAAGCAGTAAAGCGCTTAAAAGTAAAGGAGAACAGGCTACAAATACGACGACGAAACGAAACGTTTAAGTAATCAGTAGAGCCAAATGATGGTGTACCTCTATGAGTCTATGCAGCTCAAACACTTGTACTGCAAAAATCCTTTGCTGACTGAAAACAGTAGCAAACAAATGGGAATAAGGGAACAGATAATTCAACCCAGCAGCTAAAACTCAAATTGAGAAGAATACTCACTGAGAAATCGCCTTTCGAGCTTTCCAGAATTGTTTTTCACCGATCAACCCGACAACGACATCAGGGGAGATATTTGGAGCTGTAGCTGAATCTACTAAGGAAGCCTCTGAAACATTGTGTTTATGTTCTACTTCTCTCAAACGCACGGTAGCAAACTTCTCGAACTCGTTAGCCACATTTCTGTCACCATCTCTTGGTGACGAATTTTCCAAACCACGAACCTCAGCGCACCCCACATTGTCTTGGAGAGCTTCAGAGCTTTGTTCGGCCAAGCCTTCGGGATTTGCTCTCACATTTGCACCGCACGGTGTGCTCGAATTGCTGGTGGAAGTCCAGTTTTGTTTAGATGGATGGGGCAGCTTTGCCTTTTGAGAGTCCCTATAATTCATTGAAGGCCGAGTATTTGGCTCCAACAAAGGCTCATCTGTGGGTGAATGGATAAATATAGGCCTCTTTACATGATCCTGAGTAGCCTTGCCCAAATTTGGATGCTCCTCGCCTTCATTCCCTGCATATTTTCTGGAACTATCGAGTTCGCTCGTGCTGCCGCTCGACATCCTTTCCTGAAACTTCTTGGGATTCTTCAAGACCTTTGTAATTGAATTGCTTGGAGGATTTGATGACAATGATCCTGCTGCTACAACACTTGTCTTTAGCAACTTTGCCTCATTGCTTTGCACAACTCCTTTAGAATCATAAGAGTGAAGCTTCTCGTCGAGATGAGATTGTTTCGAGCCCTTGGAGGACGATGAGAAGATGCCCCTCTTCTTGCCACCAAACTGCAGAGAACAAGCAAGTTCATGCAATCATTACCCAAAAATGCATAGAGAACGAGAAGCTATATTCCTTACTTATAAACCCATGATCAACCCCTTGATTAGCCGATGTGGGACTCCTCCCTCAACAATCCTCCCCTCGAACAAAGTACACCATAGGGCCTCCCCTGAGGCCCATGGAGCCCTCGAACAACCTCCTCTTAATTGAGGCTCGACTTCTTCTCTAGAGCCCTCAAACAAATTACACCCTTTATTCGACACTTAAGTAACTTTTGACTACACCTTCAGGACTCACAGCTTATTTGTTCGACATTTAAGGATTCTATTGACATAACTATGTTAAGGGCATGACTCTAATACCATATTAGAAATCACGACCCTCATGGGACTCCTCTCCTAACAATTCTCAAATGTGTGGTTTCAGTTTTGGCATCTAAAAGAACAATCAAAAGACAGAAAAAATGAAACACTGATGCATTGATAAACATGTGAGGCATGAAGAATTGCAGTAATCTATTAAGCATACATGGCTGGAGGATGTCGAGGTCGTCGGAGTGCCGAGCGGAAGAGGAGCAGCAGCTGAAGCTGATCCAGAGGAAAACTTTTGAGCAGGAATGGTGAGCTGCTCATAGAGAGCCATTTTATTCCTTGGAGGAGCTCTTGGGCCACCTTTGTCGGTGTCATTGACATGAAGCCTAGGGAACATGGGACTCAACAACATTCTTTGTTCATCTTTCCCCCCTCTCATCCTCTCACCAAAACCTCCAAACGAAACGAACTCACCAGAAGAACCCAATTCCATGAATCTCTATGTCAAAACAAAGGATTTTCATTTCAAAAACAGAAAAAAAAAACCCCATCAATCATCAAACAACAACCATGAAATCACAAAATTCAGCAAACCCAGAAAGAAAAACCATTAATTTTGGGAAGAGATTCAGAAATTGACAGATACCCATCATCAGCCCAGTTGAAATGAACAAAATTGGGACAGAAATTCATGAAAAAAGACGCAAAAAAATGCAGAGAAGAACAGAAAATGAAACACTCGTTGTTGAGGTCTGTCAGATCTCCATAGGCATGGGTAGCGAAGAAGAAAGGGGTTGTGGTGAAGATTGAAAAGGATTAAAGAAGAAAAAGGGTTTTGAATTTAGATTGTGGGGCAGTGACTGAATGGAGCACATGGAGGAGTATTTTGGCTACGCTGTTGATGTTAGAACCTCATGTTTTTGGTTCCATTTCGCCAATCTTTTAACGAAAAATCCGTTAAAGATCGTCTTCAACAAACAAATAAAACATCTCTCAAATTTTTCTCCCTTTCTTTTTCCGGTAGCATTGATTCAACCCAGAGCGACTAATTGGGGATGTGGATTTTGTTTGTTAATTTGACCACAAACATTTCTCTCTTCTTTTTTTTTTTAGACAATTAAAAAAAAAACACACAAAAAGATTGATTTAAATCAATATTATAATCACACGTGCACATTGTCGGATACGACATGTCGTCCCACGCTTCGGGATTTTAATGAACTTGGGCCTGCGTTTAATTTCAACCGGCCCACTTAGTGGAGCCCAACACGCCTATTTGGGCCGTGTGAATATCATGAAGAGTTTTGGAACGGCGTCGTATTGAGGGGAGTACATTTTTTTTTTCCCCACGAAAGAGGACAAGAAATAAAATGACGGAAAAAGAGATAATGTTAATTTTAAAAGACAGATGGAAATTTTTGAGGTGGTGGGGCCCATAGGGGGGGGTGGTGGTGGAAGGCTAGTAAGGCTTCGCTGTTGGGAATTTCCACCTGAGAGAATGGTGGTCAGGATATGAACCAATGAGAAGGTGCGACGTGTGAAAAGATGGTTGCGTTCACGTGTGAGATGTAATAATTGAATTGATGACAAGGATATATGTGGGGACCAATTGGAAAAATACAATGTAACGGATTTAATGGCCTTGATTTGGTCTTTTTACATCATAATTGAGCCATCAACGGTCGAATTTGCATGATGAAATGAGGAGATAAAATGGACCCAAATTCATTCACACTACCAAAGAACCACCCTCATTTGACTTTACCCCACTCTATTATTATTATTATTATATTATTATTATTATTGTAACGCCCCAAATCCACCGCTAGCAGAGTCACGCGTATGCTAGGAGAAGGTTTCCACACCCTTATGAATGGTGGTAGACACAAGGCGGTGTGCCAATAAGGACGCTGGGCCCCAAAGGAGGTGGATTGTGATGTCTTACCTTGGTTGGGGAAGAGAACAACCCACCATTTATAAGGGTGTAAAAACCTTCTCCTAGCAGACACGTTTTAAAGCCTTAAGAGGAAGCCCGAAAGGGAAAGCCAAAGAAGACAATATCTGCTAGCGTTACAATTATTATTATTTTAATATTAACGTTTGAATAATAAGCCCTGAATTTTATAAAATTTTAAACTTTTAATTTTGTTTATGATTTCGCGTACAAATACCCTTTTGTTGGATGTTGTTCAAGCTTTTCTTGAAAGTATGATATGGGTTACTTCAACGCCACCACTAACTGGAACTTGAGGAAATGTGGGTATAGAAAATCTTAAAAGAATTTCTGACCGATCTATCCTACATGAGTTTTGGATAACCAAATAAATTGAAGTATTAAAATTTAATAGATGTCATCTTGAGGCATTTAATGTGTGGAGAAAATCCATGAATAGCTTATTCATTTACAATGCTGCACCAGTAAGAGATAATATAATCACATAGAAATTCAAACTTGAATTATTTAATATTTATAATTTCCATGGGAATAACAGAAAAATAGTTTTAATACTTTAAAAAGGAAATGGGGAAGTGATGATCCAAAGTTTGAGACAAGTTGCAGAGAAAAAAATGTTAGAGATGAGACAGAACATGATGTGTTTCTTGTCTGAATCAGACAATACTTGTCCATTTTCTAAGTCAAGAGTACATATATGGTAAACTCGTAAGTTACGTTCCAAATTCAAATTTGAACGAGTAAGTTAGAAGACGCAAACGAGTAAAATCTCGAATCTTAAACCGACATGTAGTTGATGACGAGTTGGATATTTGAAATTAGGGTTAAGAAGTTGATAACAAGGAAAACGAGGAACGAGAGGATTCCATTATTTAATTTCTTGGCTGATGATATATGTTTTTAGCTCGTTGATGTGATGGTCGAATTTGCCGAACTTTAGTAAAAAAGTAAGAATGTTTTTCTTAAGGAATCATGTTACAAGTTAAGTGTGTTCGTGCATTAGCTTGAATCGAGTTAAGTTGGGTTGGGTTGATTAATTTTTCTAGGTCATTGAATCTTTCAAACCCTTCAATCCCAAGAGCTAGATTTAACGCAACTAGATTAAAGAAATCGACCCTATATCTGATAAGCTCATAAACCGCTTACTCAAATTCAAACCTCGAGTAACTTAGAAAGAAGAAAACACAAACAGGAGTATAATTTTTTCCATGAACATCTATCTCACGAGTCAGATTTAGGGTAATCAAAAGCTCTTAAATAAAGAAAATGCAAATGCGTTACCAGTAAGTTCTTGAAATCAACCCTATTTCGACAAACTTGTAACTCACACGAACGACCTCAATTCAAACTTCTAAACTCAAAACAGATCGAGAATTGAATGAGATGAGTGATTGTGGGGGAGCATGTGGGTGGGTGCTCATAGCTCACAACTCAGCATCCATTTTGATTCTCTTTCACCTATTATGTAAGCAGCTATAAAACCAGGGAGATAAGATGAACAATGAACAATGAACAATTTTTAATATAAATAATAATTAACCAACTTGGGTCTCTTATCCTCTCCTTTCTGACTTTCTTCCCTTAATTTGTGAACAACAAACAACAACAACTCTCATGTTCTTGTTATTATTTCCTTCCAAATCTATTTAATTCTTCCCCCAACCTACCTCCCACCTCCATACCTTGTATCTACCCGACTTCGTTTCATTTTCCTCGTCGTTACATTCCAAATTTAGTCCTTTAATTTTTAAGTTTTTATCGAAAAAGATCTGACTTTTAGTTTTAGGATTCTCGTAGCAAAACAGTAATTAAATATGGTTCCCAACCCACCACAAATAGATATCGTCTCACGGTTTTAAAACATGTTTATTAGGAAGAGGTTTCAGAAATACTTCATTTTTTTCTCCAATCAATGTAGACTCTTACAATCCACCCTCTCTGTGCTCCAGCATCCTTGTTGGCACACCGCTCTGATATCATTAATAACATCTCAAGCCCACCGCTACACTTTAATCCATTACGTATCGTTGTCAGCCTCACGATTTTAGAACGCGCCTACTAGTTAGAAGTTTCCATACCTTATGATAGATGAATTAATTTTAAACCAAGCCTTCCATTATTGATAAAGCCATGGGCAAGGGCATTATGATGCTACTGACATTTCCAAAAGAAAAGGGAAATAAAATTAATATACTTACTTTTTTGGGTCAATTCTAGATTCATCTAATTTGTCTCTATTTAAGAGATAAACCAAATAATTATTTATTCAAGTTTTTTTTTTTTCTCTCAAAATTTAGAAATTTCTCAATAATTACTGAATCATTTGGCCTAAATTTTGCAAACGAGAAAAGGTCAAGCTATGATTAAAGCTATGATTAATACAAAAAAAAAAAAAAAAAAAATTATTATTATTATTATTATTATTTTGCAGAAAGATGCTTTTAGTCTGTCAAAATTACAACTTTACCCCAAATCAGGTTAAAATATTTATTTGAAATTTATTTTTTCATTTTTTTAAAATAAAATTTTGGAAATTTAAAAATAGAAAAACAAAAATATTATAATATTAAAAAGAAAATTCCATTTTCCAATATAGGTTAGAATAAAAAATGAATCACTGAAATCTCATTCTTCTCCCACCAAACTGACAAAATAATAATAATAATAAATAAATAAATAAAATAATTTTAAAAAAAGCTTATCTTTTTCAAAGGCATTATATTTCTGTCAACGGTTTATTTTAATTTTATTTCCCTTTTGCACATTTTTTGCATCTTCAAAGAACAATTACCAATATTTTCTTTGCATTTATACCCCTTCCCTTTCCACAATTTTCTTTTCACTCCCTTCTTTAAAAACCAAACCTTTCTTCTCCTATCCTAGGTACAACAATCTCGTGTTTTTCTATGTTCTTGTTCGTGTTTCTGGTCTTGTTCATGTTCATAATGTTTTGATTTTCGCTCGAATGTTTGGACGTTTTTGGAGTTTCTCTTTCCATTTCCAAACATTAGTTGCCAAGAAAATGACATAAGCAATAGCTGTGTTTTGATCCTCTTTGTCTCAGTTTCCTCACCATTTTCCAATTTAGGAAAGAGTTGGTCAAGAATGTACAAAAGGAGGAGGAGTTTGAATAGCTGAAGGAAAGAGCTCGAGCTCGAGCCCGAGCCCGACAGATCGGTCTTTTCGGTAAGTTTCGTGAATTCTTCATTAGAAACAAAGAAACAAGAAACGAGAAATGACTTGGTGTAATATGTTTCAGGAAGTTGAAGTAGTAGTAATGGATTATTCGAACCGGGATGGATACGGGTCGAGAGTTGCAACGACAAACATGACGTCGCCGGTGTCGTTTTGGAGCAATTACCAACAAGGAGTTGAAGAAAGGTTCATGATATCCAATTCAAATTCTCACTTCTTCAACTCAGTTCAAGATCTCCCAATCAGCCCTCCATTGACAAGCTTTGCAACATCCAAAGACATGGATGCTATTGCGCTCTATGGATTCGACGACGGTAAATCGACGTCGGTTACACCGTGCTCTCTCAAGTCATTGGACTGCTTGCTTTCAGCTACAAATAGCAACACAGACACATCAGTTGAAGACAATGATGGATCAGTGTCAATGATCTTAACAGATTACACAAATTTATGGAACTTTGGAAGCAATGCAGCAACTACAAAGAGAACCCATCAAGAATCTACAGAGTACTCTGTTTTTTCCAACACCATCAAGAATCTCTCTGATTCAACTTCAAACAGTGGAGGGTTTAGGATCATAACAGATCAAAATCAACCAAAATCAAAGAAACCCAGATCAGAAAAGCCACCAAGTTCATCAAACATCAACTTCCAGCAATCATGTTCATCAGGATCATCATGTATTGATCAAGAACCTGACCCAGAAGCCATAGCACAAATGAAGGAAATGATATACAGAGCAGCAGCTTTGAGGCCAGTGAATTTGGGGGTAGAAGGGATAGAAAAGCCCAAAAGGAAGAACGTGAGGATCTCAACAGACCCACAAACAGTAGCAGCAAGGCAAAGGAGAGAGAGAATCAGTGAAAGAATTAGGGTTTTGCAAAGGCTTGTTCCTGGTGGGAACAAGATGGATACTGCATCAATGCTTGATGAAGCTGCAAATTATCTCAAGTTCTTGAAGTCTCAGATCAAAGCTTTAGAGAATCTTGGGCAAAAGATTGAATCTTTGAACTGCCCTTCAACTAGCTTAGCCTTTTCTTTCAACCCATCTTTTCCCATACAATCATCTTCATCATTATCCCATAACCAATATCCCCAAAACTGAACTGATATTGTACCTTCACTTTGCTTCTTCATGTTTCAATCTTCAATATTAAACCAATAAATTCACATTAACTTAGATCATTATAATCCTTACTCCATTTGTTCATACGCTTTGTCGAATAATAAGCACGAGAGTTCGTAAAACTTCCCGAATCACCGACTAACGTCTTTTGTTATTGAACTTCAAAATTTGAAGAAGACCCAACAATAACACAAATTCAAATATAGACCTCTGACTCTAATCGCGAGATCCCACATCGATTGAAGAAGACAATATTTGCTAGCGATAGACTTGGACTGTTACACTAATATCATGTTACGACAAGCTCGATTATAACAACATTGTAACACATCAACTACGAACGAATTGGTTGTTTTAGAATGATGATGCTTTTTGTGAGTAGCAGAGGGGGAAAAAGGTTAGTAATAATAACAATATGATTAAGTTGAAAGTGAATGTTACTTTTGAAGCTTTGTGTTTGTAATTGAAAAAGAATCAAACTTTTTACTTTGTATTAAGAATTGTAATGTGTTTTGATTCAATTTTATAAGTGTTATTACCAATGCTTTTGAAACATTCTGTTTGGAAATGAGAGCCAAAGTCAGTGGTGTGGTCTCCTTGATTCAATCCAAAGCGTGCTCTTGGGAATCATCCCATATTTATTGCTATCCACATGCTTTCTGCTTCCTTTTGCCTTCCTATTAAATCATCTCTCTCTCTCTCTTGCCACAGTGGTTTCTCTTAACTTTAACATATCATATGATCACGATGGTTATACCACTCGGATTTCTTAGGATCTCGTTCGACGATCATGGAGATTTTCGATCTCTTGAGAAGTTTTGTTTCGACCTAACAAAATTTGGTAGGAGAGTACACGGGGTAGGTTGGGTTGGGGAAATCTTTTGGATCAACCATAAATTTCGACATGGTTACGTTGGTGATCCGAGTAACCCAAATAGAGTTCACAACCAAATTCAGGGCTGGATCGAAATCCTACTTATCTACAATATCTATTATATTAACAACTAAAATCTCATATAGCTTAAATATCAAACATTCACAACTCACAACTCATGATCAACCTCGGTTATAAATGAAAATATTCTTAATTTTCATAATAAGTAGGGTAGGTTTGGGTTGTAACCCTATTTTCGGAAACCCGATAAAAAGATGTCAAATCAGGAAAGAAAATCGAAAAAGATCTAACCCACCCCAATCTTCTTTATGGTTTGAGTAAGGTGGTTCAAGTAGGTCGGGTTCTAGAGTCATATGAACACCCCTGGAATTTGGCATGCCAATAAAGATATTGTATTTCTCTTATTTACTCAAGTTAGCTTTTCCTCGAATGATCATCTATCCATCAACTTGCAATAAGATCACACTTCATGTCGCAACCGTGATCATCCCTCCCACGAACCCGCTCTTTTGTTTATATTAGTCCAAGAACTTGCACCGTCCTTATTTCGTAATTTGTGCATCCAATTAATACTACCAAACAAACACGGAAGAAAAACACCCAGAAAAGGGAGATAGTTGGGAATTCAAGCATTGATTGGAAGGATGCAAATTGATATTGATGATGCGATCCTATGTTATAAAAATAATATAAAGTTTTGAATTTGCCAAATTTGGGCACTTTCAGTTGCAATGAAGGAGAGGGTGCCCTCAACTTGTGGGGTTGGGGCATTTAACCATTCATTGGTTTGGGTTGGTTTGTCATAAAGGATGTGGGTCCCATTCCAAAGTAACAAACTTTAGAGGAGGGCAAAGGAAAAGATATTGTTTTTTATTATTATTGTTTTGGGCCATTTAATTGGACTCTTATTTTGTAGCCTTTCCGACAGTTGACTTTGTCTAACCAATGGAGACATCACATAGGGTGTTGTTGAGGAAAAAAAGTCTTTAAAATGAATTGTCAAAGGACACGTGTTGATTTCTTATTGGTTTGTCTTGCGGTGGTTAACACCGGGTAGGTTGTTTTGTTCCCCCCGGAAAAGAAGATTTTGGAGGTCATTCTTTCTGGATGCATAGTCTCTGCCAAATTTAATTTTTCAAATGTAAGGTTTTGTAGCCAGACCTTCCGTTTACAAGACTCACGCTCTACCACTGAGTTATAAGGGCTTCTACAATGGTATCATATTATCCATTTTGAATATAAAAGTCTCATACCAACGAAGGAATATACGATTAACCACTTTATAAAATTAATCAGGATTGAACACTAAGGCCCTTCAGACTAACGCTTTACCACTGAGCTACAAGGGCTTCTAAAATGGTATCATATCCACTTTGAATATAAGGGCCTCGTACCAATGAAGTTGTGAAAAATGTTTTTGCCCCACGTAGGATTGAACTACAGACCTTCAATATTATAAGGGCTTCTACAATGAACATTCTCTAAATTAGCCAACGTGACTCTCCACCAACCATCTTCTGGGTCAGGAGAATATCATATTTCTGCGTTTCTATCAGATTTCCCCCAAAACAGGTTCCTTCCCTGATAAGCTATTATTTGACAAGTCTCTGAAAAAAATAACAAATAATGTAATTTGTTCAAGGACTCTAAGAAGGAGTCGAGCTTCGATTAAGGGGAGGGTGTTCGAGGGCTATTATAGAGAGTCTCCAAAGTGGACACAGTTATTTACATGTATTCTCCAAAGAAGAGTGGTTACTGTTCAAGTTGAAGGCAAAATTTATACATTTCAGGTTTCAACAGCCTAATGATCAAATCCAACAACTTTGATAAATTCCGGAAGGGGAAATCCAAGACCAAAGGAACAGGGAGGAGGAGGAGGAGGAGGAGGAAGACGACGTTCCAGCGAAATTCACCTCGCCACGGGACCCGGTCGAGGGGGCAACACCATAAAGATGGATGTCATTTCAATGGACTCAGTTGAATAAGGAGGGTGGCTATCCGGTGTTCGACTCATTTCTGCAGCCAAGCAACTTTTCAGTTCTTTCACCACTTGACTCATTGTTGGCCTTCTCCCGGCATTCACTGACACACAAGCCATTGCTACTTCCACTGCTTTCCGGACAGAGTTTATACTATACTCTCCTTTTAATCTTGGATCTACTATGTTCATGATATCACCTTGTGCAGCCATGGAACCAACCCATTTAACTATATGAACTGAATCCTGGCCTTGAGATTTTGATATCACTGGTTTGCTGCTCACCATCTCCAACAAAGTAAGGCCAAAGCTATACACATCACTTTTTGGACTTAGCCTGTTTGATGTTCTATACCTGAGAGTCAATTCATGAAGTTTGTTCAAATTTATCTCTATAGATTTTTCTTTTAAGAGAAAAATAAATGACACCATTGAGAAATGTTTGAAGTTAGGACTTACTCCGGGTCGAGATAACCGGTCTTATCATCGGTTGGGTAGCTCTTAGAGATACCGAAGTCGGAAAGCTTAGCTCGAAAATTTTCGGTTAACAAGATGTTTGTTGGTTTCATATTTCCATGGACTAATGGAGGCTTACAACCATAGTGTAGATACTCAAGCCCTGCCGGTTTTTCATTTTTTAGATGACAGAAACAAACAAATGGTTAGTAGACCATGTGTAACCATCCAAGCCCAAGTTCACCACTAGCTGATATTGTCTTTTTTACGTGGGATCTCACAATCTACCCCCCTTGAGGACCCAACGGAAGTAATGCTCGGTGTCTAGCTCTGATACCATTTGTAACAATCCAAGCCCACCGCTAGCAAATATTGTCCTCTTTAGGCTCTTCCTTCTGAGCTTCCCCTCAAGGTTTTTAAAATATGTCTAAAAACCGTGAGGCTTACGACTATACGTAACGAGCCAAACGGACAATATCTATGAGCTGTGAGCTTGAGGTATTACAAATGGTATCAGAGCCAGACACTGAATGGTGTGCCAGCGAGGACGCTAGGCTCCCAAGGAGAATGGATTGTGAGATCCCACATTGGTTGGAGGAGGGAATAAAACATTTCTTATAAAGGTGTGGAAACTTCTTCCTAGCAGATGCGTTTTAAAATCGTGAGGCTTATAGCAATACATAACGAGCCAAAGCGGACAATATCTGCTAGCGGTGAGCTTGATCTGTTACGATGTTTGAATGAAAACTGATCACACCTTCAGCTGCATCCATAGCTATTCGTAGTCTATCTTCCCAACTTATGACTCCTGAACCCATCTCTGCATATTCAATGAAAAGCAAGTAGAAAACCTCAAACTTCCATTTTTTTTAACTGAAATGCTTGTTTCAAATCTTTGCTAAATGCAGGAAGCTTACCAGAAAGGCGCTGTGCTAAGCTTCCGTTGTCCATATACTCATAAACGAGGCCAAGGTGAGTTCCTTCGTTCAAGTACCCTACAAGGCTTGTCAAGTTCCTGTGGTGAACACTAAGAAGTGTGGTAACCTGCATGAAAAAGTAGCATCTTTTTAGTCTTACAAACAACTGTGAGCTAACTTTTTTATGAGAATATCCAAATAATACACTCCTCTGCTTTAAATTGATCGTTGCCTTGTATTGCTGATGGAGCTACCATCTTCACAGCCACTTGAATATCATCAACCAACCCATGGTAAACCGCTCCAAAGCTACCTCTACCAAGAATCTTCTCAAAATTGTTGGTCATTTTCACAACTTCAGAATAAGTAAACTGCTGCCTTCTAGTTTCCAATGAACTGCTACCAACCTCCAAGACCTGTTTATCTTCTTCTTTCCTTTTTGTTCTAGCTATACAAAAGACAGCCCCTGCAATGGTGGCAATGGCAAGCACGCCTCCGACCGATGCTACTAATGGAATGATGAACTTGTTCTTCTCCTTATGTTTCTCCTCTTCCTGCTTTCCAGTGCATTGAACTAAAGAATTTGCTTCTAGATTTGGATTACCTTTCATGCTGTCATCATTAGATTTTCATAAGCTGACATGTTAGAATTACAGCTTTGAATTGAAAATTATTTATATGTTATGATGTTCCAAGAAAGAGACCGTAATGATAGTAAGCTATCATTGAATCTTCTTATGAGTTCAGGTGGAAGTGGACATGAGAGATTGTTGTTCTCCAAGTTTCTGGGAATAGACAAAAGAAATTCAATCATCCGGCAAACTGCTTGGTTCTTTGACTTTTTTTCAGCTGAAGTAACTTACAGAACTTTGAGGTTTGACAGTTTTGATAGAGCATCTGGCAGTTCTCCTGTTAAGCTGTTGTTTGACAAGTCCCTGAGATTCAAACTCAATTTGTTGTAATTGGTTTTAAGATTGTAACGGCCGAAACCTATTGCAAGTAGATATTGTCCTTTTTGAGTTTTTCATCTCGATCTTCCCCTTTAAGGTTTTTAAAAAGCGTCTGCTAGGGATAGGTCTCCTCATGCTTATATAAAGAATGCTTTGTTCTCCTCCCCAACCGATGTGGGATCTCACAATCCACCCCCCTTTAGGGCTCAACGTCCTCGCTGTTACACTGCCTCATGTCTATCCCCCTTCGGAGCTCAGCCTCCTCGCTACCACATCGCTTGGTGTCTGGCTCTGATATTATTTGTAACATCCCAAGCCTACTGCTAGTAGATATTGTTCTCTTTGGGCTTCCCCGTAAGGATTTTAAAATGCCTCTGCTAGGGAGAGATTTCCACACCCTTATAAAAAATGCTTCGTTCTCCTCTCCAACTGATGTGGGATCTCACAATCCACCCCCTAGTGTCCTCACTGTCACAAGACTGTCCACCCCCTTTGGGGCTCAGCCTCCTCATTGCTACATCGCTTGGTGTCTGGTTCTTATATCATTTGTAATGTCTGAAGCCCACTGCTAGCATATATTTTTCTCTTTTGGCTTCCCCTGAAGGTTTTTAAAACGCATTTGCTAGGGAGAGGTTTCCACACCCTTATAAAGAATGCTTCGTTCTCCTCCCAACCGTCGTAGGATCTCATAAACAAGGAAGATACCAGTTTAGTTATCATTTAAACGAGAGATACTTACAGAGTTTCTAAGGCTGTTAGATCAGAGATATCAGGAGATATATCACCTGTCAAACCACTTGATGACAAGTTCCTGCAAGATTGATATCAGTTCCTTCATCTCAACATGTTCTGTTGGATAGCAAACTTAAACGATAAGGTAACTTTCTAAACAAAGCGTGCTACTCACAGTGATGTGATTCTTGGGATTGACTCATTGGTACAACCTACACCACTCCAAGGATATGCTCTGGGGATACATGGATCTCCTTCCCAATCTTTCATCACTCCATAAATTGACTTTATTTTCCTCATTGCATCCACTATATTCAGTACAACCCATTCATGAAATCATCAAACAAGTTCAAATTTCAGTACCCCAGAAAGTTAAATCAACGTACCATCTCCTTGATCTGATTCTAATTCCGAGACTTGAATTTGGTAATAAACTTCTAATCCGTTGATGATTGGAGGAAGTGTTGAATTCTCAGTTCGAAAGAATGAAAATTTGTGTTGCTTTTGAGGGAATCCCAATGGTTTAGTGCTATAAATGCTGCTTGTATACAAGTAATCAGGAACAATAGGTCCACCCCAATATTCCCCATTATGACTGATGTTGAAGCCTCTGAATTGTTTAGGTTGAAGCTCTACTAACTCAGCAAAGTGAAGATATATATAATACTGAGTATTTTCATCATCTGATTCCCACCAAAGTTCAATAGATTGAGTTGCATTCTTTGGGGTTATGGCAGTTCCCATGACAATGGCTGCTGGATGATGCAGGGTGTGGTCCTTGGCATCTATAGTAAGAGAGGTATTTAATTGTCTGAAGTTCTGGCCATTGAAAGGACTCCAAATTCGATCGAAAACATCGTAAGGGTACCTGAAACGATGGCACAGACTCAAAAAGTTGTTTTCTTTGGGCTTTTACTTTTGGGCTTCCTCTCAAAGTTTATAAAACGCGTTTATTAGGGAGAGGTTTCCATATACTTATTAGTAATGTTTCGTTTTCCTCCCCAACAGATGTGAGATCTCACAATCCACCTCCCTTCGAGGCTCAGCTTTCTCTCTAGCACATCACATGGAACCTGATTCTGATACCATTTATAACAGCCCAAACCCACCCCTCTCAGATATTGTCCTCTTTGAGCTTTCTCTTTCAGGCTTCTCCTCAAGGTTTTTAAAATGCGTCTGCTAGGGAGAGGTTTCCACACCCTTATAACGAATGTTTCGTTCCTCTCTCCAACCGGTGTGGGATCTCACAATCCACCCCCTTCGAGACTCAGCCTCTTCGCTGACACATCGTTCGGAACTTGAGTCTAATACCATTTGTAACCGTCCAAGCCCACCATTAGCAGATATTGTCCTCTTTGAGATTTCTGTTGAAGGGAGAGTTTTTAAAACGCATGTTAGAGAGAGGTTGCCCAAGCCCATCGCTAGTAGATATTGTCTTCTTTAAGCTTTTCGGAGAGTTTTTAAAACGCATGTTAGAGAGAGGTTGCCCAAGCCCATCGCTAGTAGATATTGTCTTCTTTAAGCTTTTCCTTGAGGGGAGGGTTTTTAAAACGCATCTGCTAGGGAGAAGTTGCCAAAGCCCACCACTATTAGATATTATCCTATTTGGACTTTCTTTTTCGGACTTCCCCTCAAGGTTTTTAAAATGCTTCTGTTAGAGAGAGGTTTCCACACTCTTATAAAGAATGTTTCGTTCCCCTCTCAAATCGATGTGGGATCTCACAATCCACCCCCCTTCAGAGCCCAACGTCCTTGTTGACACTCATTCATCTCTCCAATCAATATCGGATCTCACAATCCACCCCTTTCAGAGCCCCCTTTCAGAGCCCAGTATCCTCGCTAGCACTCATTCCTCTCTTAATCGACGTGGAATCCAAAGTAATTCCTATCAAATTTGATGAATCAATAAGAACTCACCTGTACGATACATTCGTTGCTGACCCCATATCCAATCGAACAAAATTCAAGAAGGATCCAAACTGAATTGGGTAAGATTGATGAGGTAAAGGTCTAAACTCCAAAGCAGAGATGAAAGGTGTTCCATTTCCTGTATTAATCAAACAGATTTGCACTCTATTTGCTGATGGAATATGTATAATTTCTTTGTAGGTCTCAACATATTCAAACAAATTCTCCACTTTAACCCACAAGCTATCTCCAAAGTAGAGTTCAAAGATTGGTAAGCTACTCAACCCATCATAATTTCCATACAAGAAGCTTGCTCGAATCAAGTATTTCCTTTCACTCATAATATTGCTTATATTGTAGCAGTTCCTGATGCCTTGAGGAAAGCTTCTAAGGGACTGTAGTTGTCTATCAAATAAGCTTTTGAACGTTGAGTTTATGCTCTGGCTTTCACCACTGTTTATGTAAGCTGCATCTGACATGTAGTTTATGTTTGTCTTTGATTCTTTGTATCTTGAGTTTGCTGGTAATCCACAATCCAAGCTTATAAAACCTGAGAGATTATATGAGCCAAAGAGAGTTTAAAGAATGTTTGTACAGATTTTGTAGTGATATGAAGAACAGAATTTACCTGATTGATCTTGAGCTTGAACAGCTAGTACAAGAGCTAGAGAAGCCAGTAAACATGTTGTTCTTGTTTTCATCATCTGCCTTTGGAATTTCTCTCAGATTTGGTGCAGATATGAACTTAGATTGGTTGTCAGCATAAACTGAAGGTATATTGTTGCAAATAAATCTAAATGTTTTGCTTATGTTTTAGCAGTTGACTTGGACTTGGCCATCCATTTGAATTTAAACAGTGGACAGAGAATATCTACCCAAACATCTGCATCATTATGTTTTGTCAGTTGACTTGGACTTGGCCTGGTTTTCTATTGAATAAGAATAAATGTTTAAAGGTCAACTGTGTTGGTTTATAAGTTCGGTTTTGTCTTGGTCCACCGCTAGTGGATATTGTCTTTTTTGGGTTTTTTCTTCTAGGCTTCCTTGAAAGTTTTAAAATGTGTTTAAGAGGCTTCCACACCCTTGTAAGGTGTACTTCATTCCCTTCTCCAAAGGATGTGGGATCTCGGAATCCACTCCTTGGGGTCCAACGTCCTCACTGGCACACTGCCCGGTGTTTGGCTTTGATGCCATTTGTAACAGACCAAGCCCACCGCTAGTAAATATTGTTCTCCTTAGACTTTCTCTTCTAGACTTCTCAAAATTTTAAAACATCTCTACTAGGGAGTTTCTACACCCTTATAAGGAGGGCTTCGTTCCCTCTCCAACCAATGTGGGATCTCATAGTTTTCGATTACGTAGATGAACTCATACTTAACAAAATTTGAATTCTCCACCGAAGGGCTAACCAATTATTATTAGCGATTTCGACTCCATGCAGGTGAGATGCAGTCTACAATTCGAATGGAAGACAATTGCTCCTTACCCTTGAATGATAGAACTATTGAGATTCTCATAGATAGCATGATCATGTCATTAGGGGTACAAGAGAATGTTGGAGCCATCAGGTGTCAAATCCAAATTTCAAATTCGAGACATAGATCATAACAACTTTTTTTCTTAATTATTTTCCTGTTTAAAAAATACACTTAAAAACTTTCAAAAGTTTCATTAATACTCTTTAATTCCTTTTTAAAAAACTTCAAAAAGACCTTAAATTTTATGTAAAAGTTAAAAAACACCATTTTCGTTGGTATCACATTTCACCAATGATAAAGGTGTATGGTTCAACTTTGAATCCAGCGACTTGGGTTTGACTCTTAGAAGGACTTTCACCTTTAGACTTTGAATGGTTTGAATCTTCTTAAATATACAATTTTTTTTAATAGTTTTCTAAAAAAATTAGAGATGATATAATCTCATTTTGTTATTTTTTTCTTTTATTATTATGTTAAAATAAACTTTTTATTTTATTATTATTATTATTATTTTTTATCTAGTTTTTTATTTGATCAACCCAAATTTATAAATCTAATAAAAATTGAAAGGGTGAATATTGCCTTAGGACATAGACTTTGAATCCAGCGACCTGGGTTCAAATTCGGTTGGACTATCACCTTTTGGTTAGTACTCCAGACTTTAAATCCAGTTAGACTTTGGTTCGACTCTAGGACTTTCACCTTTTAGAGTTACTCAATGATAAAGGTGTGTGGTTCTATGGTATAGTTGTTAGCACTCTGGACTTTGAATCACTCTCGGTAGGACCTTCACCTTTCAGAGTTACTCAATGAAAAATGTGTGTGGTTCTATGGTGTAGTGGTTAGCACTTGGATTTTATTCTTGGTAGGACCTTTACCTTTTCTAGAGTAACTCAATGACAAATGTGTGTGGTTCTATGGTGTAGTGGTTAACACTTTGGATTTTGTATAGAGTGACATGGGTTCGAGTCCCTCGGACTTAGTATTAACTCCCGATAGGACCATTCACCTTTTAGAGTTACTAAATGATAAATATTTGTGGTTCTATATGGTGTAGTCGTTAGTCAGGGTTGGACTCCTAATAAGACTTCTATTGTGTAGTGGTTGGAAGCATGACTTGGGTTTATAAAGTTACTCAATGATAATTGTGGTTCGAGTCCCCTAGTGATTAGCACTTTGGACTTAGTTCGGGGACTAGTGCTTTGGACTTAGTTCAACTCCTGATAGGACCCTTCACCTTTTAAAGTTACTCAATAATAAATATTTGTAGTTCTACAGTGTAGTGGTTAGCACTCTTGACTTTGAATCAAGTGACTTGGGTTTAACTCCCAATAGGACCTCTAAGGTATATTTGTTAGTATATTGCCCCCAATGATAAATGTGTGTGGTTCTATAGTGTAGTGTCAAAATTGGGTTCTAATGTCTCTCTTTTATTTTCCGGTTGCTTTTTCCTTCTTAACAATTTCCTCACATTTGCTCAGTCAAAGCCAACAGCCCCTATGAGGTCTCTGCCATAGAGTGCTAACTCTCTATCGGAAGGATTTGTATTCCTCCTCCCTGTGTTCGGATCTATCACTTCCCCCACCTTTGGGGAGTTTGGTCGGTAACTATCATTTTCACCACTTGTTGACACTCTATTCTGCCCCATCTCTTGGGGTTCATCGCTATCAAGATCAAACAATCATTTGACAATAGCATAGGCTGTCAGAAGGGTTTGATCTCTTTGTTCGTTGAGCTTGTTTTTCACCTACGACTTCAGCCCCTTGATAAAGTTGAAGATCTTGCCTATCTCGGACATATCACAAATATCTAACATAAGCCTCAAATACTGTCAAACAGAATCTCGGATACTGCCCATATGACTCAACTCTCTTAATTTCCTTCAGGCGATTATCTCGACATTCCCTGGGAAGAATTGAGAGCGGAGCTCTTGTTTCAAGCTATCCCATGTGTCCAGAGTACATCGACCATCTTGAATTTCCATGTACTTGGACCTCCACCATAACTTTGCATCGTCGGCTAGATGCATTGTTGCCAACGTGACATTCGCTTCCTCTGCCACAGTATTTGTGACTCGAAAGTATTGTTTGAGGTCGAAGCTAAAGCTCTCTGGAGCCTTGGCATCACAAACCCCACAGAAGGGTTTGGGCTCAAAGACCTTTATCTTGTTAAACCGTGCTACACCTCTAGTTGGGGTTTGGTCCCCCACCGCTCTTGTGGTGATGTTTAATCTGGCGCTCAGATCCGCTACTTTAGCCCTGACCACTCCAAGAGCTTATCTAAAGTCATAAAAAAAATATGAGACCATTTGGACGATCGCCAGTTGAGCATTGTCTAAGCCCTCTGTGCACATCTCCATTCTGGCAATAGAGCCCGTCGAGCAATCCCCACAACTGAAGCCATCTCATTAATTCATGGACGAGCATTGCTTCAAGGCGACCTGCCATCTCATTGAACATGTTGGCTTTTGCGGCAATCTCATTCATGCGAGATTCCAAAAGCCTCATTCCATCAGGAACTTCATTCATGCAGAGTAATTGTTCTTCGATTTTAGCTAATTGATCAGCTTGACACTTGTCCAGTTGTTTTGCAGCGGACATGTTTGTGTAATAGTTTCCAAAGAGTCGACTTAGCTTTGATATCACTTGTCACAATCGTACTCTTGCAATAGCTGGATAGCGATTGTGCGACACTTGTTCTAACTAAGTGAACAAGTTCAGCCGTGAGAAATTTGGACGTCTAGACAACGTCGGCGTGTGTTTGGGCCTCGAGTCACGTTGGGAGAAAAGGTTTAGAAAACGTGCGTAAGGAAATACATTTGAAAGAGTTGAAGAAAACATCATTATATGACTATAAGCAATTAAGAAATACTACGACTTAAATAAACTTAGGGTAGGAAGAAGTGACAACTAGTCATATCCTCCAATAGTACATTTTGGGGCATTTTAGCCCTTGCGGATGTAGACATGGTTTTAGTGAACGGTCATACACCACCGTATTGACCTAACGTGAAATGACCAAGGCACATATCTAGGATGAAAACATGTAAAAGTTGTTTGGTACGGGCATGCGAGCATGAACAACATGTCTTGGACAAGTAACACCAGGAAATCTGCCATGCGGCCATAGGCAACAGGCCTTGGATAAACATAACCGCGACACTTATAGTACCTCTAGACTTTGAATCTAGCGATTGACCTCTACCTTTTAAAGTTACTCGATGATAAAGTACTTTGAGTCTAGGACTTAAATTTGACTCACTAGGGTCTTTGATGTGAGACATACACTAGGATTGGACCGTTAATTTTTTAGGGTTGGCACCACATTGGATGATAAAGGTGGATAAGGTTGGGTTGAATTTCAATAAATTTGTTTTTGAATGTTAAAAAGTCATTAAGATGATTTCATTATAAAGTTGCTATAAAACGTCATGTTTTATAGTGTTGTAGTGAGCACTTTCGACTTCGACCTAGGTTCAACTTCACTCAACCCTACGCTTGACTTTAATGCACATCCTTCTTCATGTATTGGATGATGCCCCATCTTTCTCGATCCATCATGGCATTTGTCTATCTCAGCTCTCACATGGCTTGACGGAAATCACTCATATCTCATCTTCTATTGTGTCCGCACATGGTGATCACAACCTACATTTTTTTTAGTATGGTTCTGACATTCTCTCCCTCTTAAATTAGACGTCGTCTTCAATGACTTTCTTTGAGACACGATCACATTGCTCTCACCAATTGGTGGCCTAGGTTCAAACTTGTGATAACACCTTTTGTGGGAGACAAACTAAGCTTCGACTCTCACTTTTTATGGTCAACCAAACTCAATGATAAGGGCGAGTTCTAGAGTTGTGTTTAATTCATAATATTTTTTTTAACTTAAAAAACATTAATATGATTACATTTTAAGATTATAATCAAGCATTTAGTTCTATAATGTAGTAGGAACCACGAACCTTCACAATGATATGATATTGTCCACTTTTGAGGTTAGCAACTTCTTTGTTCGACATTTAAGGATTGTATTGACACGACTAAGTTAAGGGCATGACTCTAATACCATGTTAGGAATCACATACCTCTATAACCGTATGATATTGTCTACTTTAAGTATAAGCTCTCATGGCTTTACTCGGTGACATGGTTTTACTCAATGATAAAGAGGTGTGCATATGGTGATTTCATTATAAGATTGATATTAAACGTTTGGTTCTATTGTGTAGTGGTTAGCACTTGGACCTTTTAGGGTGTTGCTCAATTAAAAGTCACTCGACTCCTGGACCTTCACTACTCAATCAAAAGCCCCTCAAACTTTGAATGCATATGATGATTTCATTATTATAAGATTGATATTAAATGTTTGGTTCTATGGTATAGTAGTAGCATTTCGGACTTTGAATTCAGTGACCTGGGTTCAACTTTGGGTACGACCTTCACCTTTTAGATTTACTAAATCAAAAGTCACTTTGAATTGAGTGACATTGTTTAAACATGATAAAGGGGTGTGCATATGAAATCACATACGATGATTTCATTATAAAATTGATATCAAATGTTTGGTTCTATGGTGTAGTGGTTAGCACTTTGGACTTTGAATCTAAGATTGATATTAAACGTTTGGTTCTATGATGTAGTGGTTTAGCACTTTGGATTTTGAATCTAGCGAATTGGGTTTGACTCTCGAACCTTCATTACTCAATCAATCTAGCGTCTTAGTACGAGTCATCGAAAAAGAAGGTACATTTTGTTGGTATAAGTAGTAATTTCAATATTTTTTTAAACGTATTTCAAGCAGGTACATTTTGTTGGTATAAGTAGTAACTTCAATATTTTTTTAAACGTATTTCAAGCATTTTATTTTCAAAATTATTCTAAATCAGTTCATTCATATATCTCTTTATCGAGTAGTGTGTCACATTATATATATAAGTTAAAATGAGTTAACTATCAAATATAATGGAAGCTAAGCTATGATTTAAAACTTTACTAAAAATATAGAAAATAAAATTAAATATTAAAAAATTTAAACTAAAATAGAAAAAAAGGAAACTTTGAAATGACTTAGTTTGACCAAATTAATTTCAAAAGTCGGCCGCTTCCCCATGTGGCCAGAGTAGTTTGGAAGTCCGAACATGGCAAGCTCCGATGAAGATGAAGATTTATTGAACATGGATGCCAATAGCGTAGCGCTCTTCTGCAATCGAGTAGCCTCAATTGGAATTCATCTGACACAGTCCCAAAAATTTCGCCATAAATTATTCAGCATAGGGTTTGTCTTTTTCCTTGAAATCCCTAGAAGTGGAGGACTTCCCCTCTTTAATTATTCAATCTGGCAACTATTATACTATATGATTGATCGTCATTTCTACGTTTGTTCGATATATTATTAGGAGATTGCGACTTGGAAATTGCCTTTTGACATTGTTACGACAATCACTTTAATGGTTTTTTCAAACAGCCCCGAACTCATTGATAAACAAAAGCGCTATAGTTTCCTTTCGATGTTTTGATTCAAAGAATTTTAAATTTGTATTGTTTATACTTAGTCAACTTGCATGCGTAATATGTTCTTCAATCTCCCATATTGTGAAGGGAATTCCTCTTGTGACGACTTTCTATAATTGTCACAGGCTTACTGCATTTTCCTCAAGGTGCAGATATGGCTGCTTTCTCAATTCTCGTGAATCAATGCAGCCAATGATAGCCCCTGGAGGAAGAGGATGATGATAATGGGAACATCAGGGCATTCCCTGTTTGGTTTCCTGCTCAGTTGCTTGGCATTGGCTTTTCTACTTCTTATTCGAGCTCAGGATCAGTCAGGTGAAACATTTGTTTTTCATTGGCGATTAACCTATTCAACTTCTTTCAAGCATATATAGAAACTTGAAGTTTAATTTTGTTGTTATTTGTTTTTCAGGCTTCATTAGTTTAGACTGTGGATTACCAGAGGGTACAAGTTACACCGAAAAGACGACCAAAATTAACTATGTTTCTGATGCATCCTTCATAAACACTGGGGTTAGTCGAAGTGTTGATTCAGCTTATGTAGATTTAGATATCTATGAAATGCAATTGAGGAAGCTGAGAAGCTTCCCTGATGGAATCAGAAACTGTTACAATATAAGCATTAAAAGGGCCACCGAATACTTGATTCGAGCAAGTTTCTTGTATGGCAATTATGATGGTCTGGATTCGCCACCGATGTTTGATCTCTATATTGGGAATAGCTTATGGGAGACATTCAACGGAACTGGAGATGACATGGGTGTTTTCATAGAACTTATACATGTAACCTCCTCAAATGAAATTCACATCTGTCTGATCAATACTGGAAATGGAGTGCCATTTATTTCTACATTGGAATTTAGACCTTCGTTCAACATCACTTATTATACATCAACGGCATCCTTATCACTTTTTGCTCGATTGGACTACGGCTCAGCAGATGGTCAATATTACAGGTATTTAAGCATTGGTTTTGCAAATATATGTATTACTGTTAATGAGAAGAGGGATACTTTAACAAGTTAGAGATGCTAACATAATATTTTGTTTTTGTGGTTACTCTTTCTGAAGATTCCCTTTGGATGTTTATGACCGCATTTGGTTATCATATCACTCTAACGATTCGACACGAGTAAGCACCAATATTACTCTCAATAGTGAGGACTACGGTTTCCAACTTCCATCCATTGTCATGAGTACTGCCTCCACTTCAAAAGATGCAAGCACGACTTTGGAGATTTCGTGGGATACAATAGATTCATCTCAATACTTTGTGATTATGCACTTTGCTGAACTTGAGATTCCTCAAGTCAATCAAACCAGAGAGTTTACTATCTGGCACAATGGAAACTTATATTCTAGAGCTATAATTCCAGAATATTTGTCCACGATGAGCTTTTTGTCTCCAAAGCCATTGAAGGCAGCAAGTAGTCATTTCCTTACTTTCGTTCCAACTGAGAATTCAACGCTTCCTCCTATCATCAATGCTTTTGAATTATATGGAATGAAAGAAATATCAGAGTTAGAGACAGACCAAGGAGATGGTATCTTTCTTTAGACGCACTTTGTGAGTTCACTTATTGAAAGTCAATGAATACTAATTTGATTTCTACTTTGGATAATTAGTGGATGCAGTTACCAATATTAGGTCAAATTATGGAATAAAGAAGGATTGGCAAGGCGATCCATGTGTGCCAATGGAATACACTTGGAGTGGATTAAATTGTAGTAACAAAACTGCTCCAAGAATCATATCCTTGTAAGTGCAGGTCTTCTGTTGAAATTGTTTATTTATATGAAGGATGAATCTTATGAATTCACGAGGAAGTGTTAATTTTTTGAACAGGGACCTATCTGGAAGTGGACTGGTAGGTGAGATATCTTCTTACATATCAAATCTAACCATGTTGCAAATTTTGTAAGTATTTCTCTATTATATTTTTTAACAGGAAAATATTATTGATATTACTAGGTAGGATATTAAGGAGGCACAATTGTCACTAGATAAGGATTTTGTTAGAAAAGTGGTTGTCAATACAGTCGGCTAGACGGGTCTGAAATTTGCAGAATTTGGAGAATGGTTCTTATGGGAGTAGCCTTGCTGGCAAGGTTGTTTCCAGATTTGTTACAACATCATAGTTTAGCATAAATGTTCTGAAATTTTACAAAATAACTCAATTAAATGTGCAATTAGGCTCGATTTATGTAAATTGATTTTCTTTTCATGTTGAACCGCATTTGCTTACTAATTAGAATAAATGGAGCAATTAATGAAAAAATGGTTTGTATTAGTGCAAAATTAACTACAATAACTCTACTTTTTGGAGAGTTATTAAGCCCCTTGATGTGTTTTAATATTGTAATTTTCCTTTCCTATTTTCTTTTCTATCCCTTTATATTGCAGTTTTGTGTCCTAACTTATGCTTACTCAATATCCTGTTCTGTATTAGGGATTTGTCCAATAATGGGTTGACTGGAGAGATACCGGAATTCTTAGTAAATTTGCCTAATCTAAGAATCCTGTAAGTCTCTTTTTTGTAATTTTGACACCCAGAACTTTAAATTTTAGTTGAAAATTGAAGTTTGTTTATCTTTTTACTTTGTGTGTGTTCGCAGTTCTTTAACCAGAAACAAGTTCACAGGCTTAATTCCCAAGGTTCTCTTGCAAAGAGCTGAAGCTGGATTGCTTATATTAAGGTAAGCTAACTATTTACTCTAAGTTATATTTCATTTTCTCTATTTACTTTACTGCCATGTAGCCGCCTACTAATTCTATTGTTTTCATATTGAATAACGAACACTAACTGAAAAGTCAAATGAAAATTCATTTGCTTTAACCTGAAATTTTCTTCTGCTTGTAAAAGTGTGGGTGAAAATCCAGATCTTTGTACATCACTTAAATGTGATAACAAGAAGAAGAAGAAGAATAAGAGGAACAAGTACTTGGTTCCTGTAATTCTCGCCAGCATAATAGCTGTGTTCCTACCTATCCTTATAATTACTCTAGTAATCTACAAAAGGAGAAAACAAAGAGGTAGATATCTCATGTCTTCTGTTTTTGTACACTGCTAATTCCAGCATATTTATAGTAACGACAATGAAACTGATGTGAATAGCGAAAATCGAAAAGAATTCCTAGATGACTAATGACTTCAAAAGTGTTGAATGAACCAAAATGTTTCTGTTTTACTCGTTGCAGAGAATCTCAAAAGATCAATCCAAGAAAGGTTACTTAAGTCGAAGAACCAACAAGTTCATTACTCTGAGATATTGGTTATCACAGATAACTTTAAGACAACTCTTGGGGAAGGAGGATTTGGAAAAGTATACTTGGGTGTACTTAGTGATAAAACCCAAGTTGCTGTCAAGTTGCTGTCTTCAATATCACAGCAAGGCTACAATGAATTCAGAGCCGAGGTTTAGTTTTTCTTGGGTGCAAATTTACTTGAACTGAATTAATTACTTCCGAATAAACTATATTTGCAAATGCAGGCTCAAATACTAACAGTTGTTCATCATAGAAATCTGGTTTCTCTTGTTGGTTACTGTGATGAAGCTGAGAATAAGGCACTCATTTATGAATTCATGGGCAACGGAAATTTAGGCAATCTCCTATCTGGTAAATTATGATTTTGGCTTAAAAGAAAGATTATCCTAGACTCTTTGAGATGACTTTTTCTCTTTGTTGATGCAGATTCAAGCGCAAAGGTGTTGAGTTGGATGGAAAGACTCCAAATTGCAGTTGATGCAGCACAAGGTATAAAAAAATAACAAACAATAAAACTTATTATTTCGTGATCTTATTTGCCTTCCCTGTTTGGATTGTGAGAACTGACATCAAATAAACAAACTGCAGGATTAGAATATTTACACAATGGTTGCGTGCCGCCTATCATTCACAGAGATATTAAGTCTTCTAATATCCTATTGAATGAAAAAATGCAAGCTAAAATATCTGATTTTGGACTGTCCAGAGTATTTGCAAATGAAAATGATACTCATTTCTCCACATGTCCTGCTGGCACCTTCGGTTACGTCGACCCTACGTAAGTAACAATGATTGATCTGCTTTGTGTTTATATTCATGTAGTTACTTTTAAAAAAAATCGATAAGCTTCTAGTTTTTGGATTTGATTCGTCATAATATGGCAAAATAAAGTGTGTTAGCTGGTCAAAATAAAATGAAATATGAAACTTTATCCTCTTTCTGTAATAACGGATTCAATCCCTTGTAGACACATAACAATGTATTTTTCCTATTGTTAAATCAATCAGACTTTTTCAAACACACAAATTTCAAAGGTCAAGAACTTAAATGTGAGATCCCATATCGGTTGGGGAGAAGAACGAACAATCTTTAGAAGGGTGTGAAAATCTCTCCCTAGCAGACGCATTTTAAAAATCTTGATGGGAAGCTCGAAAGGAAAAGCCCAAAGAGGATAACATCGGCTAGCGGTGACTTTGAGCTGTTACAAATAGAGTCAGACACCGAAGGGGATAACATCTGCTAGCCGAAGGGGATGGATTGGGGGGTCCCACGTCCATTGGAGAAGGGAACGAGCGTCAGAGAGAACGTTAGGCCTTGAAAGGGGGTGGACTGGGAGTTTCCACACTGGTCGGGGAGGGGACAAAGCATTCTTTTTTAGGGTGTGGAAACCTCTCCTCAGCAGACGTACTTTAAAAACCTTGAGAGGAAGCTCAAAAGAAAAGTCCAAAGAGGACAATATCTGCTGAGGGTGGGTTCAGCTGTTAAATTTATAATTTGGCCTACTTTTCTTACTATTTAACCAGAACTCAATGTCTGAAGTGTCCATTTCTCGTAATATAGCAAAAGAAGCATCTTGTGTACATAAACAAAAGAACTAACACAAAAATCTGTTGCAGGGTTCATTTATCTAGAAACTTCATCAAGAAAAGTGATGTTTACAGCTTTGGAATTATATTGCTTGAGCTGATCACTGGACATCCTGCCATAATCAAGAGCTCTGAAGTGAACACTCACATAGTTGATTGGGTTAAGCCTCTGATTGCAGAAGGGAACATCGAAAACATTGTCGATCCGAGGTTAGAAGGCTCCATTGAAAGTTGTTCTGCAAAGAAATTTGTGGAGCTTGCTCTATCGTGCACATTGCCAACTTCAGCTGGAAGGCCTGACATGAGTAATGTGGTGTTACAACTTATTGAGTGCTTGGAGATTGTTCAAGACAGAACTCCACAAATTCCACCTAACAATTCAATGTGCTCTGTTTCAATTGTTGGTCGCAGTTAGAGATTAATGTCTTTTCTTGGTTGTTGTTGATGAGGATTTGAACAAAACTACGCAACCATCAATCCGGTAGTTATGATATTGTCTTAAGACAGGTTTCTCTAAAATGTATGCATATTTATGGCTGGTTGACTATAATACGATTCTCTTTTCCCCTTTTCTGAAACAGATTCAAGCACAAAAGTCTCGAGTTGGATGGAAAGACTCCAAATTGCAGTTAATGCAGCACAAGGTGTATATAAATAAGGCCTAATTTTAATTTATACCCATAAACTTTTAGAGGTTGTATCAAATAAGATCTTGAGTGTATAAATTTATACCATTGGCTAGATTTTGTTTAAAAAAACGTTAATGCACATCAAACTTATAATTGTATCCATTAAACTCTTGAACTTTAAAAAGCGAATTAATTTAACCGTTCGTTTTAAATGCATGCACAAATTTTGAAAGTTTAGGAATTTAGTGATAGTAATTATAAGTTTGTAGATCCAATAATTTTTTACGGTTATAAAGTAGGCCGAATCAATAGCCTTACCAGGATACCATATGCTATAGACTCTTTAGGTTATTACTCGAATACGATCCTCTGGTATGTTAACTACATGTTGGATAAGGCCCAACCTTATCCATATGCTATAGACCCGTTAGGTTATTACTCGAATACGATTCTCTTGTATGTCAACTATGTTCTAGATTACATCAATAACTTTGAATTTTCATAAAATGGATAATAATTAAGTTACAAATAAAATCATAAAAATTATTATTAAAAACTAAATAATTAATTACGAGACTTTAGGGCATAAATCCAAACTAAATAATTAATTACGAGACTTTGGGCATAAATCCAACCATCTTAAATAATTAATTACAGATTTGGGTATAAATCCCGCACAGTGGATGGTGCCTTACATCACAAGATCGTGACCATCTTAAATAATTAATTACAAACTTTAGGACATAAATCCAACTATCTCCCCCTTGCATTGAAGTTGGTGAGACTAAGTGTAAATCCAACAATAGATTTGTGTGGAGAGATATTTTTTCTTTTCAAACTTTTAACAAAAGGTGTAAATTTATATACTTTGTGTAAGTTTAAGGTACCTTAAATGGATATAATTGTTATTATCTTAAAGTTTGAATTGATATGATTAGAAATTAAAGCTAGATTCATGATACACTTCTAATAAACTTATAATTTCTATATATATGAATTCATAAATGCATAAAATGCTTTTGTTTAGGAACATCAATAATATGAATTATTGATAATCTTCTTCTTTGGTCGTTCTTGAGTTTAAGTTTTCTTCTTTTCAAAATTGTGAAATTTAGAGTGACTATTATTGTGGGATCATTGACGTTTCCAACATATATATCTTATTTATGAAAAACTCAAAGACAAGGTATCAAATTTGGGACTTTCAAGAGTATTTGCAAATGAAAGTTATACTCATTGATCCACATGTTTGTGCAGATCATTTTTTTCGTAGCAAGCCTCAAAGGAGACATAAAAAACGTTGTCGATCCGAGGTTGAACTCTTGGTTCGACCTTCACCTTTCATAGTTACTCAATGATAAAGGTGTGCCTTTAAGGTGATTTCATTATAAGATTGATGTTAAACATATGGTTCTATGGTATAATGACCAGTACTCTATACTTTGAATCTAGCGATCTGAGTTTGACTCCCAATAGGACCTTCACCTTTTAGGGTTACTCAATCAAAAGTCACTTTAAAATCTAGGTTTTACTCTAACCTTCACCTTTTGGAGTTACTCAACGATAAAGGTGTGCCCTTAAGATGATTTCATTATAAGGTTTTATGGTGTATAGCGACTTGGGTTCGACTCTCGGTAGGACCTTCACCTTTTAGACTTAATCAAAAGTCATTTTCAATTTAGGTTTTACTCTGACCTTCACCTTTTAGAGTTACTCAATGATAAAGGTGTGCCCTTAAGGTGATTTCATAATAAGATTAATATTAAATGTTTGGTTATATGGTGCAGTGGTTAGCACTTTGGACTTTGAATCCAAACTCCCGGTAGGACCTTCATCATTAGACTTAATCAAAAGTCACTTTAAATCTAGGTTTTACTCTGACCTTCACCTTTTACAGGGACTCAATGATAGAGCAGGTTTTACTCTGACCTTCACCTTTTACAGGGACTCAATGATAGAGCAGGTTTTACTCTAACCTTCACCTTTTACAGGGACTCAATGATAGAGCAGGTTTTACCCTGACCTTCACCTTTTACAGGGACTCAATGATAGAGCAGGTTTTACTCTGACCTTCACCTTTTACAGGGACTCAATGATAAAGGTGTGCTCTTTATGGTGTAGTGGTTAGTACTTTGGACTTTGAATCTAGCAACTTGGGGTTTGACTCGGACCTTTACCTTTTAGGATACTCAATCAAAAGTCACTTTCGACTTTGAATCCATGGACCTTTAGATTCTTCTTCAAAAATGTCTTCTCATGGTTGACACAGCCCTATGATTGGGATCAGTGGTATAGTGGCTTGTATTAGTCAATGATTTTTGCTCTACCAATGTCCTGCTTTGTTTAGTGTTTTACTCGAGGATTACGTTGGAAAAGGCGGGCAAGCTTCAAGCTCCTAGTCTCTTCTTTTATTGAGAACTTGGTTCATCTTCTTCTGGCACTTCTGGGTGCCGTTAATCGAAGCTCAACTCTTTTATCTAGAGTCCTCGAAGAAAGGGTGCAAAGTACACCCTTTGTTCGATCAACTCTGATACTTATATTAGTAATCACGACTTTCCACAATTTTTCCACAATTATATGATATTGTCCACTTTGAGTATAAGCTCTCATGGCTTTGATATGGGCTCCCTCAAAAGGCCTCATAGCAATGGAGATGTATTCCTTACTTATAAACTCATGATCATTCTCTAAATTAGCCAATGGGACTCCCTCTCAACAATTCTCAACAACACACGCTGTATGCGCGTACATGTTCAATCGTCTGTGACATAATCTGACGCAATATCTACCACTCAAAAGTGTGAATAAATATGAAATAGAATTGAGATCGAAGGTGCAATCTTCATTGATATTCACAATCTTTAAATAAGATACAAGATATAAGTAATATCTACAAAGAAAATATAAACTAACTAATAATAAAATAAAATATACTACTATTCAAATTCAACTGATTACGAATATCTAAGATATATTTCCTAACTAATATATTTTTCAAGATTACGAATATCATATATTCCATAACTAATTCAAACTAAAATAAGTTGCACTAAATTCTGACATAATCGACTTGCCTCAGACATTGCCTCTACTCGAGGCCAAGGTCTCTCAATGCAACATCACATCCAACATCATCTTGGTTTCCAATAAACATGCCCCATATGTCTTAACGTCATCCCAAGTTGGGGTGTCGTCGACCCTCGCAGTTCACTCGGTTATGCCATTGAGAACGGGCCTACGTGTCGTTCGTAATCTCGGGACATCCCGAACATCCATCCATCCAGGTTCAATCAAGGTATTGACCCTCTCGTGCCCAGGCTATGTCATAGCGGGTGCATGATCCAACCTCCCACACTCAAGTCAGGGTGTAATATCGGCACACCCGTGCCACCCGGTACTATCCTTGAAAGACCCATTTCAAAGGAAGTTGCCCGAGACACACGTCTCGAAACGTTCGCCCTCATTGTGCCACCAGGTAGCTCACTTAGGTCACAGGGTCTAAGGGTGGTGGAGAGCTGACACCATGCTTCCCCCTATTGTACATTTTGAGGCATTTTGAATACTCCTCGGGTAGACGTCATTTTGGCAAACGGTCATATGGTGTTGTGGAGCATCTGTTCAATGTCTGATTGACACCAAACTTGGTCAGCATTCATATTTCATATGGATGGACTTGACTCCCAAACCACATGCTCAAATTTCCTTCGAATCCTGACTTTCGAGGTTAAGGCCCAAGGGCCTACTCGACCCTTCAACAAGCGTATCTTTGACACTCATGCCTACTTGTTGTCCCTATCATGCTTATGCCTCGTTTCCTCTTCAATGCCCACGTTATATGGTGTGCTGGATGATGCACCATCCTCCTCGGTCGCATCATGACGTTCTTCTATATTGGCCCTCGCGTGGCCGACAGAGCGCCTCTAGCTCGCCGTGAGGTCACAACTTACTCTTGGTTGTGACATTCTCCCCCAGTTCAAATTATTCATCGTCCTCGATGACTAGTGACCCCTTACATTTCAGCATCGGAGTTGCAACATCTAGATAATACCATTTATCGAATTCCAACCAGGGCACTAGTTATGATTCAGCGATACGACATTGGCAAGCAGAAATATCCGATTTTGGACTGTCCAAGGTATTTGTAAATGAAAGTGATACTCATTTGTCCACATGTCCTGCTGCCATTTTTGGATACGTCAACCCACATATGTATTCACGTTAGAATGATCAGTTTCTCTGTTTCCTGTTTTGAAATGTCTCTATATACTAAGAGAGACATTTTGTGGACACAAACTAAAGTATAAATCTATTGCAGGATTCATTTATCTGGAAACTTCACCAAGAAAGTGATGTGTCTTGTATGAGTTGGTGAGTGGCCAACCTGCCAAAATCAAGTACTGGGCTAAGCCTTTCATTGCAGGAGGAAATATCCAGAAAGTTGTTGATCCGAGGTTACAAAGTTGTTCCGTTGGAAAATTTCTGTCAACTTCAGCAGAAAGGCCCGACATGAATGAGGTAGTCTCACAACTCATTCATACATAGGGAATTGAGAATCTAATATGTAAATTACCATCAATTAGTTGATAAGTTTATGGTATACATTATTGTCTTCTTTAGACTTTCCCTTTCGGATTTTCCCTTAAGGTTTTTAAAACACGTCTGCTAAGGAGAGGTTTCCACACCCTTATAAATAATGCTTTGTTCTCCTTTCCAACTGACGTGGGATCTCACAATCCACCCCCTTCGGGAC